ATGATCCCTGGGTCTTGGGATCGAGCCCCATGTCCAGCTCCCTGCTCAGCAGGGAGCCTACTTCTACCTCTCCCTCTGTCTGCCACTCCCCCTACTTGTGCTCATTCTCTCTCTCTCAAGTAAATAAATAAAATCTAAAAAAAAAAAAATCTCTCATTAAAAAAATTATTATATAATGAAAGAAGTCTGACACAAAAGAATAATGTATGGGGCCCCTGGGTGGCTCAGTCAGTTAAGCGTCTGCCTTCGGCTCAGGTCGTAATCCCAGAGTCCTGGGATTGAGCCCTGCTTTGGGCTCTCTGCTCAGTGGGGAGTCTGCTCCTCACTCTGCCCCTCCCCCCGCTTCTGCTCACTCTCTTTTTCCCTCCCTGTCTCAAATAAATAAATCTTTAAAAAAAAAAGAATAACATATGATTCCATTTGTATAACATTTCTGCAAATGCAATCTTATCTACGGTGACAGAAAGCAACTGCATGTTTGTCAGGGGATGATGGAGCAGAAGGAAACTTGGGGGTAATGGATATTTTCATTACCTTGATGGTGATAATGGTTTTGTGGATGCATACATATATCAAAACTCATCAAATTGTACACTTTATGGCCAATTTCTTGCAGACTGATTACATCTTAATGAATCTGTAAAATAAATACATGATCAAGACCTGTACCCCTGAAACAAATAATACATTATGTGTTAATTTTAAAAAAGATTAAAATGTTAAAAAAAATACATAAATACATAAATATATGATCATAAAAAAATAAAGGATGGGATCTCATGTGGAATCAGAGGTGTTGACCTTAGATGGGCTCAAAAAAATATCACCAGCACATTAAACCCATCATTCCCAGGTATTATTATTTTATATAAGGTTAAATAAATAAAGAGAATATATTTAGCATCAATTTAATGGAAAATTTCAGTTGATCATCATATGGATCGTACCTCCCATCATGAGGTTGGCATGAGATTGGCTTCGTTCAACATTTTCCTTTTACAAAGAAGGAAATACTTCCTAAGGAGCGTCACAAAGTTCTCTTACTTAGATGATACTAATAAACTCTTATGGAGGTTACTACCTGTCTCAATTGAGTTCTTGTTTCTTTGTCTTCTATGTATCCCCCTGCATATCAAAACTACATGGCTTTCAAGACCTATCTCAAGTACACCTATCTTCATGAAACCTTTCCTTATTCCTCAAAACAAATGTAATCTCTCCTTCCTTTATTCAAAGCTTCATTGTACCCAACCAAAACACGCCTTTGTAGGACTATCCATCTCACGAAGTTCTGACCAAGGAGATAAATGCATTAGTATTACATTGTTTGAAACTTTTATAAGGCTAATTCAGTTGGGGGGGTGCACCCTTTTGCCCTTCCGGAAACACCTTCCTTCTTCCTACTACTTGTAATAGAGATTTAATGGCTCAAAACTGGTGCTCACGCTATTGTCTGGAATATTATACCCCCCCAAAAGGCACCCCAAATGAAGATAAAAGAAGAGTGTGCTTCTTATGCAATCAAAATTTAAAATAGCCCCTAGTCCAGGCGTTTTTAATAAAGAGATTTTTACTCCATTTGAATCCAGATGATACGATCTATTTTATAATTATTATAGGGTCTCTTTTGCAAAGGTAAAAGGAGATTTTCTTTTCTAGAATAATTCACTTCAGGTTAAAAGTTATTTGGAGATCAGAAAAAGATGAAAAGTGTCTTTGCCAATTGAAGACTAAATATAGAAATGAATATGGAGTTCTCTTGGTGTTGATCTGGCTCGTATACGTTAAACATATGTAGATTATGTTACATGCAATATAGGCTTTGCTTAATATTTTATTTTATTTTATTTTAAAGATTTTATTTATTTGACAGAAAAAGACAGCGAGAGAGGGAATACAAGCAGGGGGAGTGGGAGAGGGAAAAGCAGGCCTCTCACAGAGCGGGGAGCCTGATGCGAGGCTCGATCCCAGGACCCTGAGATGATGACCTGAGCTGAAGGCAGATGCTTAACCGAGTGAGCCACCCAGGTGCCCCTAGCCATTGTTTAATATTTTAAAAATACATATTCAGGGGGTGCCTGGATGACTCAACTGGTTAAGCGTTTGCCTTTGGCTCAGGTCATGATCCCAGGGTCCTGGGATTGAGCCCTGCATGGGGCTCCCTACTCAGTGGAGAGTCTGCTTCTCCCTCTCCTCCTGCTTGTGCTCTCTCTTTCCATCTCTTTCTCTGTCAAAATAAATAAATTTAAGAAAATACATATTCAGTTAGTCACTCTCAGCCTTAGTTTTCTCTTGAGCAGACTTACATGCCCTCCTTAGATGAGCACAGAAAGCCTCTCAACATTAGGACTCCATAACCTCAGCTGACTCATTTTTCTCAGCTCCTTCCCTGCTGCACACTCCCTTCCCAACATTTAGTCACACCAAACTTCTGGCAATCCCTTAAATCCACCAGACTTTTTCAAGACTTTATACCTCTAAACAGGTTATTTTCTTTATGTGGAAAGACTTTCTTTCCCTCCTCCAGAAAAACTCCTCTTCTTTCAGGATTTCAAGCAAGTAGTACCATAACTATGAAATATTCTGGTTCTTCTAGGCTGGGTTGTCCTTTCCGTGGCTTCTACCGCTCTACTGTAAGAACATTTTTACCCATTTTAAAAGTCCTTGTCTATTTATCTCCCTTTTTAGTCTGTGAGCTCCCTGAGGGCAAATGCCCATGCCTCATTTATTTTTGTATTCCCAGCACCTACCCTAGTTCCTGACATACAGAGGGCAAATAAAAGTTTGTGACATAGCCTGAGTGTTTTATTCATGTCATATCTTTGTGATGAAAGCTTCATAGTACATAAGCTTATGATTTTGACAGGAATTCTATCAAATAATTTCAAAAAATTTCTCAATATATTTCATTTTGAGGATACTTTTTTTTCCTAACACAACCTAGTTAAAAACATTTTTTTAAATTTAAATCTATGACTGGGTTTTTTAAATTTTTTTTTAATTTTATTAAGTTTTTTATTTTAAATCCAGTATAGCCAACATACAGTGTTATATTAGTTTCAGGTGTACAATATAGTGACTCAGCAATTTTTTTTTGTCCCAAGTTTTCCTTCTTTATTTTATTTTTATTTTTTATTATTATTATTTTTTATTGTTAATTCCCATACATTACATCATTAATTTTAGATGTAGTGTTCCATGATTCATTGTTTGTGCGTAACACCTAGTGCTCCATGCAGAACGTGCCTTCCTCAATACCCATCACCAGGCTAACCCATCCTCCTACCCCCCTTCCCTCTAGAACCCTCAGTTTGTTTTTCAGAGTCCATCATCTCTCATGGTTCGTCTACCCCTCCGATTTCCCCCCTTCATTCTTCCTCTCCTGCTTTTTTTTAATTTTTAAAAATTTATTTACTCATGTAAGTTATCTCTACACCCAGCGTGGGCCTTGAACTCATGACCCTGAGATCAAGAATCCCTGGCTCTACAGACTGAGCCAGCCAGATGCCCCTCTGAATAGGCTTTAAAAAAAAATATTTACTGTCTACATTTACTTCTTAATAACTTCACAAGCACCTGACTCAACAATTAATAAATAGAATAGCCATTTTCTAAACATAGTTGAAAATTAATGGTGGTTTGCACAACATTCTTGATTTTGTTTGTCCTCGGGTGTGATTACAGAGTTATCTTGTTTTGGGCTCATTCTATCCAGTTCTGTGATGACCTGGACTGAAATGAAGTTACTATTTTGTGAAATTGGTTTTTTTATTATTATTATTAATTTATTTTAGTAACTTTAGTAATCTCTATAGCCAATGTAGGGCTTGAACTCACAACCCCGAGATCAAGAGTGGCATGCTCTAGCCCACTAAGCCAGCCAGGTGTACCTAAATTGTTTATGTTAAGCAAAGAATACCACTGTCCTTCTATTAATGCCAGACCAGTTACTAGGTGACAGCTCTGAGTCTCCTTTCCTTTCTCATCTAGGTACAATCAAAACTGCCTGGACTGAAATCCTCAGCTCCCACACCAGCTATGAATTTGGGCAGTCAGTTTGTCTGAGCCTATATCCTCCTCTGTAAGGTGCAGATAATTACAGTACCTAATTTAGAGGGCTTTTCCGAGGATTAAATGAGTAATGCAAGTGAAGTGCTTGCAACAGTGCCTGGCATAGAGTGAGTGATCACGCGCGTGTTTTTGTATTAACAACACCCTAACTCGTTAATTCATTCATTCATCATATTTGTTTTTGCACACTGTGAAATTGTAGAAATGTATTCTCTTCGAATTACCAGCATCTGAATTTAAAACTGTGGCTGAAGAGTACCTATAAAGGTTATAACAATGGTTGTCCTTTAAATACAAATTAATTTGCAATTTTATTTTTTTTTAAGATTTTATTTATTTATTTATTTGCTAGAGAGAGAGAGAGAGCATAGGCGAGAGAGAGTGAGCCAGAGTACAAGCAGGGAGAGCTGCAGGCAGAGAGAGAAGCAGGCTCCCTGCTGAGCAAGGAGCCCGATGCGGGACTCGATGCTAGGACTCTGGGATCATGACCTGAGCTGAGGGCAGTCCCTTAACCGACTGAGCCACCCAGGCGTCCCTAATTTGCAATCTTAAATCAATCAGCATTATTACATTTTATCCAGGCCACACCCCTTTCCCTTGGGTGGGTTACTGTGGGTTGAAACAACCAAAAACAAAATAAAGTTACAGCAAAGAGTAACACGCACCTCATCGCTTTTTCCCCCCACTCTAAAATAGGATAGTGCTATCCACTCCCAAAGGAAAAAGCTTCTGGCCTGAGGCTGTGGGATTTAAAAAACGATTAATTCTTATCTACCTGTTTCACAGGAGTGTCAGAATGACGATATAAACTAATGTGTGCTGGGGGAAAAAAATAAAAACCTCGCGTAAACCACTAGTGGCATTTCGGTAGTGGGAGTAAACTTGACACTCCGAGGCTCCCGTAGTCTCGCTGATTTTTTTTTTTTTTTTTAAGAGCCAAGATGGCGCCGCCTGCCGAGAGTCCCATGTGCTGTTTCCGGTCATTCTCGGAAGCACGATTCCCACACCTAGCCGACACGGTTGGTGGTTGCCGGCGGTGTGGGATTTCTTAAAACTGTTCCCTGCGGAGCCAGTCAGCAGCCAGCATGTCTAACAGAAACAATAACAAGCTGCCCAGCAACCTGCCGCAGTTACAGAATCTGATCAAGCGGGATCCGCCAGCCTACGTCGAGGAGGTGGGAGTGCGGCGTAGCGCCGCTAGAGGCCGGGGCGCGACTGGTTGAGACATAGGGGAAGGTGTGGAATGGAACTGGGGTCCTAGCTCGCCCCAAGTTCTCCGGTTAGGTTCAGGGAACCCTCGGGGAGGAGAGACGAGGTTGAGGAAGGGACATGCCTCTGGTTTCGTTCGCCGCCTCATGGAAATTTGCTGCCCGTTTGGATTTTCTAAACGTTTATCTTCCGACCTCATAGAGGTGGAGGGACAAATGCCCCCCCAGCCTCCAACTTCCATGCAGATTTTTCAGCCTTTTGCTTTCAGAAACCCCTAAGTTGAATAAGTCGGTAACACTTGAGTCGTATGTTAAAATGCCTTCCATCGACGTCTGTTTCCGAGAGCCGGAAATGGACCTCCAGACATAAGATTCAAAGCTGGCAGTGGGGACAGTTAAGGAGCAGGAAAGGGTACCAATCTGGAGGGATGCCAGTTTTCTGGAAGTAGCACCGAGGAAGAAAGAGGATACTTCCTGAGCGGAAGAAAACGGGGCAGCAGTGTGTCAGGAGAGAAACAGTTTTCCAGAATATCGGAATGGCTAGGGTACTTTAAAAAATACTATGGCCTGGCCCCGCCCAAGAGTTCTTAATTCCGCTGGTCTGGGGCTTAGAGAGAGGGGAATGAGGGATGACCTGGGAGTCCTGGACATTTGTCGTGACTGATGAACATAAGGGGCGTAATGATACCAGTTCTTAGGATCTCAAGGCAGATAGTGATGGCTGGGCCATGGATAGGAGGGGGAAAGAAGTGAGGTAAGGATATTGCCAGGAGCACACGGAGTTCTGGGGCCCCCTCCTCACTCCTGTCAATGGTGGTGTGGAGTCAAAAGAGCAGGAACTTATCTGAAGCATGTAGGGGCTGTAGGTCTTTTTCTTGACTCCTGGTTTTGGAGAAAGCTGGAGGCCTAAGAGTTTTGTTGGGGGAAATCAAAAGTTATGTTTTTTTGATCATGCTAGGTTTAAGATGTCTTTTAGGTATCTAAACACATGTCAGGCAATTGGAGATAATGAATTTGGAGTGAACTGGCCCCGTTAGGGCTGCTAATGCAAAGAAATACTCATTCTTAGGGTGCCTGGGTGGCTCAGTTAAGCAACTGACTTGATTTTGGCTCAGGTCATGACCTCAGGGTCCTGGGATGGAGCCCAGTTATGGGCTCCCCTCTCAGCAGGGAGTCTGCCTGAGGATTCTTTCCTTCTGCCCCTCACCCCCACTCATGATCGCGCGCACGGACGCACGCGCTCTTTCTAAAAATAAATAAATCTTTAAAAAAAAAGAAATACTCATTCTCATAGTGTCTCTCTCATACACACACAATTTAAAGTTGTGGTCTAGGGCTGGAGAGTAGATGTAGGGCATGGAACTGAGGCCTGGTGAGTTCCAACATTAGATTGTTGGGTAGTTGTTAGAATTAAATATAATTAAATGAGATAATGTACATAATGACTGGCATACAGCAAGTGCTGAGTAAGTGGAAGCTATTATCATTATTTCTGTGTATTGCTTTTGGCTGTTGACACATCCTATCTAGAACCCCAGGATAAAATCTTAATCATTGTTTAAAGGAAGAGGGGAATTTTGACTGGAGAGTTTTACATAGTTGCGACAATTTCCTTTTTCTGACCTATATTTTTCTGCTGCTATGACTGCTCTATATATTGAATCTGAGTTTTTGATGCTTGCTTTAATGTGCTTTACACCACATCACCTACGTTTCTAATGATAAAGGAAAGGGTCTTTAGATTACCTATGATGTGCTCACATTTTTCAAAACTTATTTTGAAGAATGCAGGTAAGGAAAAGATATTTCTCCACACTTTTACCATATCTGTTTGTCCGTGCCACTATCAGAGATGTCTACTAAGTAATTTCTCATTCTTTACTGAGAAAGTCATATAATAGAAGGTGACAACTTAAATTTTATTTTCCTACAGTTTCTACAGCAGTATAATCACTACAAATCCAATGTGGAGATTTTCAAATTACAACCAAACAAACCTAGCAAAGAACTGGCAGAGCTGGTGATGTTTATGGCACAGGTAAGATGATTTCTGAGTAAAACAAAGACCAGTTGTTTTATACAGTTTGCAGAATATTTTTCTAGTACTATCCAACCTTATTCCATTCAAGAATGGAAACTTAATTTTTTTTTTAAAGATTTT